TATCAGAGCACCAGTTTGAGGCCTGGCTACTCCGCCTCTGATCCTGCTCCCTGCTAATGCTTTTCTATCCGAGTCAGGTTTCCTATCCGAGCTAGGTTTCCTATCCGAGTCACGGCACCATTATGTCGCTCCCCCTCTTCGTGGAGGAACGACACAGGACCCTGCGCTGTTCTCTCGTCTGCTCGGCCCTCCCCGGGTTTGCTGCTGGTTCTTCCCGGGTTGGCTACTATCCCTTCCACCTCCGTGGAAGGGCAGTTCCCCCTGGCCGCATTCCCCACTTCCGCAGGGGAGCGGCACACCGCCGGCTTTCTCGGGGGCTGCACGGGTTCCCTTAGATGTTCCCCATAGATGTTCCTGGTGCATGCCGTCTCTCTCCTCCTTTATAGTCCTCCTCTGCCAATCCCAACTCGGCTGAGTACGCTGCTCTCCAATCAGGAGCAAGTCCTACAGTTAATTGGTTGAACTGGAGGCAGCTGTGCGGAAGCTGTTTACTTCTCTCCCAGCGCCATATTGTGGGAGAGCAGATGCATAGAATAAGTCTTAATTCGAGTAACTTAGTCTAGTCCGGATTGCTCCCCACAGATGGAGTTCCAGGCTCCTGGCTCCTGGGCCAGCCTAGACTGGCTATTGCAGCCATTTGGAGAGTGAGCCAGCGGATAGAAAATATATACATATCTCTCCCTTTTAGTAAATAAATAAATCTTAAAAAAAACCTTGCTCTTTATAACATGATGTCATCTTGCATGTAAGGCAGGGTCGCTGAGATTGAAAGCAAGCCAGAGCAGCTGTGCAATCACTACAGGTGGACCGCAGCTTTCTGGGTGTCCCTGAGCTTGGGTTTGTGCGTGTGCAACAGGGACTTGACTCCCACCACAGCCAAGTTCAAGGTTGACCAGACACGTTCCAGGCACTCATAAACACCAGCTCTTAAGGAGCCCCACAGCCGTTCCCCAAGTGTCCTGGGACAGCGAGTCATGGACCCCTGTCACACCACCCCGAGCAGACTCCCAGGGTCCAGGCGCTAAGCCGTCTCAGGCTGTCTGCAGAGTAGGAAGGTCCCCAAGAGGCAGTGCGAGCTGTCAGTCACCGCAGGGGCCCAGCAGTAGGACACACACAGGTTGCCTGCACTGGCAGCAGTCTGGGACCACAGGGCTCAAGAACAGCGTTTTTCCAAGTGCAGACGGCAGATCTCAGAGAGGAGACCAAGCCCACAGAGCCTGTGCTACAAGCAGAAACGCCAACTGTTCAGCCAAACACCAGAACAAACCGGCTGAGCCACCCTGGACCCAGGAAACACCAGCAGCACTGGTAGCCCCAGCACTGGCACCACCACCAGCACCACCCACACACCGTGTGGCTGACGAATCCAAGGGCCTGGGTCTAGTGCACAGAGCTACATCGCGGTAGGCTCCGGCATCTGAACGCAAGTATCCGAGCACCCCTGTCACTCTGCAGTGTCCCTGTGTACACAAGAAACCACGGCTCCCCGATCGAGGAGGACACCACAAAAGGCCCAGGGAAGAGGGGCCATCTGTCCAGGGTCACCGTCGCAGGGGCGAGAAAGGAACAGAAGCCACACTCTGGGCCAGGTAGTCAGGGGCACTGAAGTCAGACCTGGACTGTGCTCCCGGGGACACCGGCTGTGCCTCCCTGTGCTCCACTCACTTCTGCAGAGAAAGAGGTCGCGACAATGCTGCCTACCCCACAGCTGTTTGAGGGTTGAGCAGAATAATGGCTGGTGTGCACACAGCCTGGCTTAACAAACGGCTCCTCTTTTTTTTTTTTTTTTTTTTTTTTTTTTTGACAGGCAGAGTGGACAGTGAGAGAGAGAGACAGAGAGAAAGGTCTTCCTTTGCCGTTGGTTCACCCTCCAATGGCCGCTGCGGCCGGCGCACTGCGGCCGGCGCACTGCGCTGATCCGAAGCCAGGAGCCAGGTACTTCTCCTGGTCTCCCATGGGGTGCAGGGCCCAAGCACTTGGGCCATCCTCCACTGCACTCCCTGGCCACAGCAGAGAGCTGGCCTGGAAGAGGGGCAACTGGGACAGAATCTGGCGCCCCGACCGGGACTAGAACCCAGGGTGCCAGCACCGCAGGCAGAGGATTAGCCTAGTGAGCCGCGGCGCCGGCTTTTCTTTCTTTTTTCAAGATTTATTTATTCATTTGAAAGTCAGAGCTGCAGAGAGAGAGGGAGAAAAAGAGATCTTCCATCCGTTGGTTTACTTTCCAGATGGCCACAATGATCAGCGCTGGGCCAGGCTGAAGCCAGGAGCTTCATCTGGGTCTCCCATGTAGGTGTCAGGGGCCCAGACACTTGGGCCATCTTCTGCTGCTTTCCCAGGCCCCTTAGCAGGGAGCTGGATTAGAAGTAAAGTAGCCAGGACACAAACTGACGCCCAGGCACAGGCAGTGGCTTTACCCACTACACCACAACACCAGCCCCAAGGGAAACCTCCACGCAGACACACAGACACGGCCCAGAGTCTTACTGCTCAATGCTCACCCTCAGGGCCTGAGCCCACCCTTGTCCCCCAGTGAGGAGATAACCAGGACCACCACAATGGGGTAGTTCCAGGGAGCAGCAGATAAAAGCAGAAAAACAGAGCTGTGGGCCCAGTGATAAGTGAGGTGCAGCTGCCACACGGGAGGGTAGGGGGAGAAAGCAAGGAGAAGTCAGAGGCCTGGGAAGGCAGAAAGACTGAGAGGGGCCAGGCTGTGCCCCACCATCCCCAACCCAGCCCCTCACATCCCAGGATAGCTCTGCTCACCCCTGCCACTCCAGCCGAATCTCCCAGCCCTGGAAAACCACCCCCAAGTCCTCGGCAGCCCCTCCCTGCAATGACTCCTCCCCCTGCCCCTGCTTGGACACAGCACAGGAGCCCAGTACCCATCACGCTGCATGGCAAGTCCCCACTTACCCAAGGACACAGGCTCCCAACCCAATCCCACTCCCTCCCCAGGTGCAGCGGGGCATCCCTCAGTTAGACGCTGTCTCTCCAGAGAGTCAGGTGCAAACCCAGGTCTAAGGACCCAAGAAGCCTTTCCCAGCAGCCAGCACTCATCACAGCCCCTCCCAAAGACCCGGAAGTAAAAGTTTTGCCCCTTCGGAAAGGCCTGGCTCAGTGTAAGACATCAGGCTATTCTTGGGTTCTCTGTTTGGCCTGTTCCTAAAAAAGTAGCCCCCTGGACAAGTTACGTGGCCTCTCAGACTCTCATGGCTCTCAGCTGTGAAATGGGCACCCTCCCCCTGCCCCATGAGACTGTCGGCTGAATAAGCCACACAGTTGCTAAGACAGTGATTCCCTTCTGTCTGTCCTCAGGGAAGCCGAAAAAAAACCGAGAGTGGCCATCTGACCAGGTCTGCTGTGTGTCCGGCCTGTCAGCAAGACAACCAGGTTTGCTCGGCTCAGAGTGGACTTTCTGGGGTGTGAGAGACGTGCAGTCAGGCGACTGGTACAGGTGAATATAAAGTTGCAGCACACCAAGGAGGGGTGGATGGCCAGTGTGTGACAGCCACACGGGACAGGACTCACACCAGGGAGTCACAGAAGCCTGTCTGAGAAAGCACCGCCGGCCTGAGTGGAACCCGGAGCCCAGCCCCAGCCACACATGATGTCTGGGCCTCACGTGTGCACTTGGAAGCCAAATGCCCAGGGACCCTGGAGACCTGAGCACTTGGTCCACTCTCCTTTGGGCACCACAACGTCCCTGGGAGATGCACTAAGTTCCCTCTGCTCATCTGTTGCAGAACCACAGTAGCCCTTTGTGGACAAGCTCAGCTGCTCTGACCACAGGCAGGCACAAAGCTCCCTCCTCACCTGCCACTGCCCTGCCACTCAGCCTTCCCAAGGCTCCAGGGACTGTGACCCTCAACCAGCTGTCCACGACAGCCAGTGGTGCCCTGTTCCAAGGCCAGCAGCACTGCCTAGCTGGATCTACTCAGAAAGACTTGCAAGGCCCAAGCTACCGGCACCCTCCCCAAAAGCCACCTCAGCCAACACTGCACTTTCTTACTCAGTGCTGGGTGCCTCCCCTGAGATCCACACACTGGTGTCTACAATGACACTCACTGCACCCTGCACATGGGAAAGAGAAAGGAATCCAGGCTGACACTGTGGCTCAGCAGGTAAAGCTCCACCTGTAAAAACGCATCCCACAAGGGCACTGGTTCATGTCCCAGCTGCTCCACGTCCCATCCGTCTCCCTGCTAAGGGTCTGGGAAAAGCAGCGGAAGACTGCCCTAGTGTCTGGGCCCCTGCACCCACGTGGGAGATCCGGATGAAGCTCCTGGCTTCAGCCTGGCTCAGCCCTGGCCATTGCAGCCATCTGGGCAGTGAACAAGTGAATGGAAGATCTCTGTATAGCTCTGTCACCTTTCAAATAAATAAATCTTTAAAATCCAGCAGTCAGTGTCCCCAAGGCACAAAGAGAATCCATGCTAGAGATTCAAAGCCAGGCCAGGCAACCGCTCACATCCAGCATTCACAATCCCAACCACGTGGCCTTGCGCTGCTCCCACCTCTAAGCACAGAGCCAAGAAACTGTCCCTCCACACACAGCCTCCCACTGACCCTCCACTGTCCTAACTCATGAACCTTCCTGTCCTCTCTCACCCTTTCCACAGAACAGGAGGCCGTGCACCAGGCTCTCTGTGCTGCCTGGAAAACACACAGCCATGGTAAACAGACCCTGGCCTCCCAGGACTTACAGCCGGGCAGACGAAGTCAGACAGCTGAACCAGGACAATCAGGAGGGGTGGCAGCTATGATGGTGGCACACGTCACCACAGGGAACGGGGTGGCTCCCAGGAAGCACCTTCCCTTTCCATCTGTCCCCACCAGGCACCCAGTTCCATGCCGGATGCACAGATGAGCTCCTCAAATGCCACCAGCCACAACACTGTGAACCCTCAGCCATCCGCCAGGACAGCCTCACCTAACACTCGGGAGAGCACTGGATGGAACGTGTACCAGCAATGCCCAAGGAAGAGATGGGGACTTACGTGTCACAGGGGAGCCCCAGCGGGAACCGGTGGAGACCCAACCAGTCATTCCTGCCCTACACGAGGATGGAAACCTCAGCCCTGGTAGGCAGCTGAGGTCCTCTGTCTCCCACGGACACCCGGGCTGAAGAATCCACAATGCACTCAGTCAGGTCCTTCCTCCCAGTCATCACACACATCCAGGCGTGGTTCCACAGCGTGCTTCCATGGTGTCCTCCCCAGGGGGCCAGGTGTCACTGTGAATCCAACAGGCTCCGAAAATCCTCGAGCAGGGTCCCAGGCGACCAACAGGCGCAGCCAGCGTGGGGCAAGGGAGGGAGCGCATCCTTCTCAGCTTCCGGTCAGCCTGGGACAGGAAAAATGCAGAAAACAGTCTTGCTACAATCGCAGGCCAGAGCGCCGGGCAGTGATTCTTCTTTCTTGCACTTGACCCCCACCTACCCAGAGGGGAACTCTGGCCCCGTGACAGCCTCAAATAAAGCAGAGGTGGTGTCCTGGGAGGCTTCGGCTGAGCGCTGCTTCCCATGAGGCACCAGGACCTCTGGGACAGGGAACTTTCCACTGCCCTGGGTGGAGGGGTCTGAGGTGTGGCTGGCTGCAGAGCCCAGAGCAAAGCCAGACCTGGCACCCAGCCTGAGCTCCCCTGCAGGGCTGAGAGGTCCAGTGAGCTGAGAGGTTCAAGGTCAGCGGGTAGGAAGTACTTCTTTGTTTTGTTTCTTTTTAAAGACAACCACAAAACCCTGGCTCGGCTCCAGGCCTGGTCTTGTCCTGTGAGCTTCTGTAGGGCAGAGCCAGAGCTGTTTCTGTTCTTACTCATTCATTCAGCAATCGCTGAGCACCTACAACTAGCAGCCAAGCACTGTCCCGGGGAGAGGTGAGGTCTTCCTAACTTGAATTATTCCGAAGAAAAGTGAAGGGCGCTGATGCAGGATGCCTAGGGCTTGAGCCCCACACCCCAGCCCATCCAGTGACACCAGTGACTGCCCCTCTGGAGTGTCTACTGTTCACCCTGCCGAACACCCTGGCCCCCAGCCAGCCTGCAGTCCCTGGCCCTGCTTTCCAGATGAGGAAATGGGGACACACACAACTATTTTGTTTCCAAATTGTGAGAGAGGAGCTCAATGGTCTGCCTCCCAAGCCTGCACTCCAATTTCCCTAGTGGAGGAAACCTGCGTGGAGCGGCTGGCATTTCACAGGCGCAGAATTCTCATTTATTCTCCACCAAAACAAAAAACAAACAGAAAATCTGTGAGTTATAGATATTATCAGGCCGATGCTATGGTACATTGGGTTAAAGCCCTGGCCAGAAACACTGGCATCCCATATGGGTGCCAGTTCAAGTCCTGGTTGCTCCACTTCCATCCAGCTCTCTCCTACGGTCTGGGAAAACAGTAGAAGATGGCCCAAGCCCTTGGGCCCCTGCACTCCCGTGGGAGACCTGGAAGAAGCTCCTGGCTCCTGGCTTCGGATAGGCTCAGCTCCGGCTGTTGCGGCCATCTGGGAAGTGACCCAGCAGATGGAAGACCTCTCTCTCTCTTTCTGCTCTCCTCTGTGTAACTCTTTCAAGTAAATAAATAAAAATAAATAAATCTTAAGAAAGAAAGAGAGAGAGAGAGAGAAAGAGAGAAAAAGAAGGAAAGAAGGAGGGAGGGAGGGAGGGAGGGAGGGAGAAAGAGAGGGAGGGAGAAAGAAAGGGAGGGAGAAAGAGAGGGAGGGAGGGAGGGAGGGAGGGAGAGAGAGAGAGGGAAGGAAGGAAGGAAGGAAGGAAGGAAGGAAGGAAGGGAGGGAGGGAGGGAGGGAGGGAGGGACCAAGCAGGCTGGCTCCTAAGCCTCTGGGCCCAGCCACTATACCAACTCCTATCAAGAACAACTATTGCTACCAAGACAAATCTCCATAGATGCAATGCTTTTAAAAAGACAAATGTATTATCCTCTATGTACAGAGATCACAAGTCTGACACAGGTCTCACTGGGCTAAGATCAAAGTGACAGAAGGGCTGAAGTCCTTTCTGGAGCTCTAAGAAAGAATCTACTTCTGGGCTTTTTCTACCTTCCAGGGCCTGCTCATGAGCCACAGGTCACAGCTCTCTTCCTCTGCTTTCAAATACAGCAGCTTGGCCAGCGCCGTGGCTCACTTGGCTAATCCTCTGCCTGCGGCACTAGCACCCTGGGTTCTAGTCCTGGTCAGGGTGCCGGATTCTGTCCCGGTTGCCCCTCTTCCAGGCCAGCTCTCTGCTGTGGCCAGGGAGTGCAGTGGAGGATGGCCCAAGTGCTTGGGCCCTGCACCCGCATGGGAGACCAAGAGAAGCACCTGGCTCCTGGCTTCAGAACCATGCAGCGCGCTGGCCGTAGTGGCCATTTTGGAGGGTGAACCTTCAGAAAAGGAAGACCTTTCTCTCTGTCTCTCTCTCTGTCTAACTCTGCCTGTCAAAAAAAAAAAAAAAAAATACAGCAGCAGAGCACCTCTGATCCTGCTGCGGTTTTCACGGCGTTTTCTCTAAGCCTCTGCCTCCCCTCTTCCACTTGGAAGGTGATTACATTGAGCTCACCCTGATGATGCAGGACAATCTCCCCACCTCAAAGTCCTTGGCCTTAACTGCATCTGCAAAGCTCCTCTTGACCTGTAAGGTAACCTATTCACAGGCTCTAGAGTTGGGGACACAGCCATCTTTGGGGGCCATTATTCTGCCCACCACAGTCACGACAGCAGAACGGCATCCATCCCCACAAAGATGGGTGTTATGGCACAGTGGGCGAAGCTGTTGCTTAGGATGCCCACATCCCAAACTGGAGTGAACCTTTCAAGTCCTGGCTACTCTGTGGTTCTCATCCAGATTCCTGCTAATGCACCTGGGAGACTGCGGAGGGTGGTCCAAGTACTTGGGTTGCTGCCACCCACATGGCAGACCGGAACAGAGTTCCTGCCTCCCAGATTCAGCCTGGCTGTTGTGGCCATTTGAGGAATGAACCAGTGAATGTCATTGTCACTCTGCCTTTCAAATAATAAATAAAATTTTGGAAAAAGCTTCAATGATCTCACTATGGACATCACACTAGCTACCTACACCCTACTTCCAGCACAAACACACAAACATAAACACGCACAGTCGTACACAGACACACTCACGCATTGCAGCAGCCATTAGAGAAAGCACAAAGGAAGTTGAGCTATGTGTTCTTAAAAACATCCACACCTCCTGGCCCTGATAACATCTTCTTTTGTAAACATGAAAACGATGCTTGCCACACAGGGTTCATGCCAGGACTGCTGTTGTTCTCAGAGTCAGCAGTGGCCTCTGATAAACGAGGACGCAGCAGGTAATCAGCACTGTACAAGGTGCTTAATACCCGCCTTGCGGTGTACTTCAGCCGGCTCAGCTCGCAGGAGGCAGGCTTGGTTTTCCTGACCTCCAGATGGGACTCCTGAGGCTCAGCTCCTAAGAGGCAGTGTGGGTTTCTGCATGTGGGTTGGGTCAGCCTCCACAGCCTGTGTTCCTGCCACTCTGAGGCCTGCCTTGCCTAAATGAGACGGTGTTCCTGCAAAAGTCTGCTTCCAGCAGTGGTCGAGTAGCTCCCTACCGGAGCAGTTTCCAAGCAGATCACAACTCTAAACAAAATATTAAAAACCAAACAAACAACAAACTTCCAGGCACCAGCGGGACCAAAACTAGGATATCCTGGTGGGGGGTCAATACCTGGAGAAGGGAAACTCGGTACTCCGAGATGAGGCACAGGTCTATACCGCAGAGATGGCTGGAACTCAGATAACAGCTAAAGACACAGACAGAGATCAAGACAGCTAACAGCTGAACATGAACAGTCCCGGCAAAGAGAAATCCAGAAAACAGGAGCCCCCGCTCTGTGTACAAACACCCCCTACGCCACCGAGTGACCCCTGAGCCAAGTTCCCATGCAGCCCAGTTAAAGCCACGGGAAGCAGACATTTACTTCAGTGCAAGGGAGGCAGACCTTGGAGTTTATTAGGCTAATTGTCTAATGAAACAAAAAAGCAGTGTTCTTTAGAGGAACAAAACAGAACTCAGAGTCCTTACAAAGCTCATTCACCACGTCCATGATACAATTAAAATTTACTCAATATAGGAAATAACTACAACCAACCAACAAACAGGAAATGTGCTCCAGTCTCAAGAAATGTCACAGCTATGGAAGAGCGTCCCCAAGGTAACCGAATTACTGGAACGGGCACACAAGGGCTGTAAAGCAGTTGCTACGACTGTGCGCAAAGACTTAAAGGAAAGTATGTCCTTAGTGCAAGCGAGACAGGAAGTCTCCTCAAGAAAAGGAAAACTCTCATAAGAGTCAAGCAGAACTTTTAAAACTAGAACATTCTGAAACAATTCACAGGATGCTTTTAACAGCAGACTGGAGAGGAAAGAAGGACAATGACCTTTAGGAGAGATCAACAGAAATTATCTGACCTGAAGATAAAAGGAGAAACTATGAGGAAGAAAGGAAGGAAGGTTCAGTAACCTATTGGAACTACCAAGAAGTCTAACAGACATGTGAATTTAGTCCCAGTGGCAGAGAAAAAGAACATGGAGTAGGATCAGTAGCTGAAGGGAAAAACGGCTGAAATTGTCCTAAACTGGATGGAAACCCATCCACTTATAGAGGCAAGAATTTCAGTAAATTCCATGTAAGATAAACACCAAAACAGCAGTAGCAGTAACAACAACAACAACAATAATAATAATAGCAAGGCACACCACACCCCAGCTGCTAGAAACCGGTCGTTGGAGGAACCATGAAAGGCACAGAAGAGGACAGAGAATCACAGGGACTGGACATTCACGACACAGGTGATCTTCCCTTGTCCCATTGAACGAACCCTGCCCACTTTGGGCCCCATGAGAAAGACGGGTGCAAAGGGAAGCTCAAGTGTCTGGACACCAGAACAGGAAGGACAGGACAAGGGTGAAAACAGGGTTTGAAGTCAGACTGCCAGGTTTACCACCTATATTACCGTGGGGAATGTTTGTAACATCCAGTGACTTCACAGAACTTCAGTGAGGATGGCTACAGTCTGAGTGTGGGTGACTACCCTGCTTCAAGATTCATAGGTTGAAATCCTAATCCCCAGAGGGGATTGGGGAGGTGATCGGGTCATGAGGTGGGGCCCCAGAGAATGGAGTTAGCGGCTTCTACAAAAGAGACCCCAGGGAGCTCCCTCAGCCCTCCCACCAAGAGGAGGAAATGGGCTCTCACCGAAGGCCACGGTGGACTCGCCAGCCTCCTGAACCCTGAATAAGAATCTTCCAGTGTGCGTCAGCCATGGGCCTAAGACGTCTTTTTATAGGGCCTAAATGGACAAAGACATGAAGCCAT